ATCAAAGTTAAGAGTTCAATTGAACCATTTTCAGGCAATGTGTAATACAACCTATCCATGTCAAACGAAAGTTATTGATACAAGACGATAATTCATTCTATGAAATCTACCTTCCATTTCGGGTATGGCCGAATAGCGTCTTTTTTTAAATTTTTTCTTATCAAAATTTATAAAAATAAAAAAAATTATTTAATATGTTTTCATTTAAAAATTTTATAATTATTTTTCCAAAATATTTATTTATTAGTTAATTGAATTTTTTATAAATTTATTAATTAAATTATGAATATAAAAATTATTTATTGAATTAAATTAAACAAAAAAATTCATTTGATTAAAAAAATTTTTTCTTAGTACTAAACTTCAATTATTGACAAAAAAAAGGAACGAGCATATATACAAGTATATTTCAATCAATTGAAAGACCCTGAAGTGATCCAAAATAGATTGAAAGCAACTAACGAGGTATATCCATTGTGGAGCACGCGCGAATCCCGTCGACTTGGATTTATTCCCGGATATATCTCTGACACAGAAGATAAATCCTGCGGGACGTCCTGCTCGGCTCTCGAGAAGGAGCGAGACGTGAAACGACATCCAGTATTCAGTCCTCAGTATAAGCAAATGAATAAGATAACAAAAAAAAAGTTTTTAAATCTTTTAAAGCATTCGAGGATCTCTGCGTCAGTCGCTATCCATGGGAACCCATTAACGATTGACTCGTTCAACTTTCCCGTAAAAATCCTCAATAAAATTTCCCTCACACCACATGAATTTAAGAGCACCGGTGTTCCTCGGTACACGTACCAGCTCCGTGCTTTGCAAATACACACAGCCTCTCCGGTTTGCTAACTACTCACTGCTCAAATAAATAACGCACTTTGATCTCGTTAGTCTCCAATAAGATAACGAGCTCGAGGAATTCTATTTTAGAAGTTTCCTTTTCGCAGATAAATTATTATTTTTTCCTTTATTTCAAAATAGTTATCCATTAAAGTCGATAAATTAACGAGAGAATAAAAATTGATCCACTGATAGAAGGATTTAGTTCTATTTAATAAAATTTAATAACAGGTACTAATTCATTTATTAAAGCCCATTTATTTCCACCAAATAAATATTTAGTAGTATTTTACAAATTATTTATTGCAACTCAATAAATCGTTTATTGGTAATAAAGAAATTAATTTTTTAACTTATTTCAGCGGATAACCTAATAACTTTTTTACTCAAAATAAATCAAAATAATTAAAATAAATAATTTTAAGTAAAAATATAAGGTATTATAAAGAAAAGAATCTCATTAAATTATTATTTTTTATTTGAGACATTTGTATAATTAAAAATTAAACAAGTTTTTAACATATCAATAATAGACAATTTAAATTGAAAAATTAAAACTAAACTCCACTGAGAAATGACATAACGACGTTTTAATTAGCAAATTGATTAACTCGATTTTAGAAAATCTTCCAATTGTACGAAAATACAATTAGTTTGAAATTTTTTATCACTTTAAAAAACTATTTAATATTTAATAGAGGTATAATATTTTGGTTAGGATCAGTCAAATAATTTATAATTGGACTATTACTACATCAAAATGTTAAAAAATCACCCTCTAAAAAATAAGGAGAAACCAATTACTAATTAGACCGTCGATAAGCCATTTGGGAGTATGTGTGTTTTCAAAGGTTTGACAAATCTCCCGAAATCGAGCTGAATAAAATAATCTGAGTCAGTGAATAGGCTATGTATCACATTGGAATTAAAGCGTAGCCATCTACCGACAATACTTACCAAAGAAATATTTATTAACTACTTCTAAATATTATTTGGTGGAAACAAATATTTATTTTGATATAATAAGGCTTTGTTTATATCAATATACTTTATTTACAGTAAATAAATAATTTATTAAACTGTAACAAATAATATTGATGGGTAAATATTTTTTTCTCCCAAATGAATGACTAAAAATTTTGTTACTCAATCAGTTTATTATTCCGTACTAAATCCTTCTATCAATGTAAAAAAAGGAATCAAATGTAAAATGTTAAATGTTAAGACGTTGGAGGTTCTTTAAACAATTTTCTCCGTATGACGTTTTATATTAATTAGTTTTGCGTAGCAGTTTCTCCGATATATTTATCTCGTTATTTTTAAAATAATATTTTAAGGCTGGATATGAGCTTATATATTAATCGAGTGAGGGAGAAAGAGAAATGATAATATGTGAAAATAACAACTTGGCGAAAATATATTAATGCGTCACGTAAAACGACGACGTCGTTCGATTATATCGAGAATATCTTTCGTTGTTTGCTTGGATAATTATTTAACTTTGTACGCCGATGAAATTATGTGAAATTACTTGTATATAACTTGGATCACTGCTGTATATTATTTACATTCATACATATATGTGTATATACAAGTGTACATTGGACAGATGGTGCGCAAGGATAATCAACGGTGAACTCTAGTCATCGGTAAAAGAAAAAAATTTACTATCGGTAAATAAATCAAATGTTTCCTAGAACCAGCGGATGAGTATGAGGCTCTGCTGCTATGCGTGCATGGATAAATGTTAAGTGTGTATGTATGTGTGGGGATAGATTCAGCACCTCTGTACGTGCATCTCTGTCTCGTGAAAGTGAAAAAAAATTTAAAGAAACACGTTAATAAAAATGAAGGAGAGAACCATGGGTATTGTGCAAACGCCTTTCCCATACCTAAGAAAATCATTTACATTGATCCGTGATTTTAATCAGCTCATCCAATCGCTCGCTTCATCTATCCACATAGGTTTTTAGGAAACCCTACAAATTTTATTTACAATGGTAATAATAACAATAATAAATTTTTTTTAAATACAATAATAATAATACATTTTTAAATGTTAGTTAATATTACCATTATTATTATTATTATTATTATTGTCTATATTATTAAGAGAATAAGCAAAATTTTGTGGCCAGTGTATTTATATGATAAAATGGGTTTTTATGGTTAAACTTGGTATCGTTGGAAAAGTCTTGACCTGGAATTGAGCCTTTTCAAGGTTTCATATCATTCTCACCAATAGTCAATTTATGAATGCAGCCTAAAGTATTTAGGCTGCATTCGCAAATGCTCTGTCTCTAGGTACATAATTAAGAAGTGACCTTGCATCTCGTGAAATATTGACATTTTTTAAGATGCAAGCTCACTCCGACATTACACTCATCAAAACCTTTCATTTGAGTACCCACATCAATTTTTCATATATTTTATATGTTTATATATATATGTATATATGAAAAATATATCAAAATGCATGTGGGTACTCAAATGAAAGCTCGTGATGAGTGCAACATCGGGATGAGCTTATATCTTCAAAATATATATTATATACGTGTATATATGAAAAATATATAAAAAATGCATGTGGGTACTCAAATGAAAGCTCTTGATGAGTGCAACGTCGGAATGAGCTTATATCTTTAAAAACATCGATAGTTAAAAAATTACAATGCAATTTAACAAAAGTCATTATTTAATAAAGCAAAATGTTCTTTATTTACAGTCACATAGTGACTTTAAAGGTTGCTAGTTATTATTATGATTATTATTTTTAATAAAAATAAAATTATTGAGACTAAATAATAAATGTTAGTAATTTATGAATTCAAAATGAATGAAATATAATCGAATATTTAAATCAAACAATTATTCGACGGGCAATAAATTAAAAAAAATATTATAAGTCCCATATCTCAGTGGCAAACTTTTCTCATCACGTCCAATTGTGAAATAAAAAATTTATTTGGAGCCATCGTCTATCTATTCAGTTTGGCCTTCTTCTATATCTGGTGGCTTGTGATATACGGGCACTAAAAAGTGTCGAGAATGCCGGTTTGGAAATAAAAACTATTTTAAATACCCAATTGGAGCGGCTGCATTCCGACTTTGATTTTTTGAGATTAAACTTCAGTAATTTATAGTCCTAAAATTAACATAATCCGGGAAGATTTTCTCACATTAGCGGAATAACCTGATCTCGATAAATAATGTTGATTAATTCGAGTCAGTGGATGATCGAGTTTTTGGTAGGAACCGAGCGATTCGCGGGAGAGGGAAACAATCGTTAGTAGGAGCTTAAACTCGAGTTTTGACACATTTTGACACAAAGACCACACAGCGCGATTATTCGACGTGCCAGAAAACATCGGCGGTTCCGAATTACCCGGCACAGCAAAGAGTCCCCAGCTGAGTAGAGTCCCATCTCTTATGGTTCTGTTTCTCCGATCAGAGTTTTAGACAAGCAAGAAGTGACATCCGGCGCCCTCGCTTCCCAGATAAATTATTAGCGAGTCTACACACCAGCAAACAACAAACTCAACCTGAAGAAAGAACAAACGAAAGCAGACTGCTACCAGGATATCAATAAAATAAAACCGTCCTCCTCGATGTATTTATTACTGGCAATCCAGTTTTTCCGAGCGATCAATCAATCCAACATCAAAAGCTACTCGCTTTTCGTTTTCGCCCGATACTTCTCCAGCTCTCAATTTTTTATTTTTATTAGTTTATTTATTACCCGAGATTCAATTTAGGGTTACGCGTTTATGTCATTATCCAATCGCTCAATATTTTTTTGACGTATTCAAAGTATCAATGATTAATTTATTACTAATATAATTTATATTTTTTTCGCTAAATAAATTTTTTAAAACGTCAAAATAAATTTTTACCAAATTATCTATACAACTTTTTTTATTCTTTTAATTTAACTGACAAAAGTATAATAATAAAAATAAATTTAATATAAGAAAAAAATTTTTGAACTAAAAAATTAATTTTTAGTTCAATTAAATTGTATTTTATTTAATAATTTTTCTGCCTGATTCAAATTGAAAAAAATTCTTTAAATATTTTTAACTTCCCGCTAAGAAAATCGAAGATTTTCAAAAATCGGGAAGTTATTGTTTTCACCCCGTTATACGAAAATCGAGTTTTCATCGAATCTCGACGTTTGGAGGTCCTAGGAAGCTTCCCTGACTATTCCCGCGATGTGTCTGCGTGTCTGTATGTATGTATGTGTGTGTGTGTGTGTGTGTGTGTGTGGATGTATGTAAACCTCTTATAACTTTTGACCTCTTATAACCTTATAACTTTTTTAAACGGCTTGACCGATTTGATCGCGGTTGGTGCCATTCGAAAGGTCTTGACCAAACTTAGATTTTGTATATACTATGGAACGATTCGAAACGGTAGATTTTGAGAAATCGCAAAAAAACTACAAAAAAAATTTTTTCAAAAGTGGTTTTTTTGGAATAACTTTTAAACTGCTTTACCGATCAATTTCAAAAACTAATCAGCTCTTAACTTAAAAAAACCACGTCGATCGCCGTCAGTCCGGTCATAATCGGTTGATTCGTTCGTGAGTTATCGTTGACGAAAGAAAACTGAAAAAAGCGTTTTTTCGGAATTACTCCGAAGTTTTCCACTCTGTCAATATAAACTTAAAGATTTTTCATGAAGCTTAAAAACTGCGTCGAATGCCACCAACCGCGTGAAAATCGGTTCATTCATTCAAAAGTTTGTGATGTGAAAATTAAAAAAATAGTGTTTTATCAAACTTTTATCAAATTTTTGAGCTCGAAGAGCTCAAAAGCATACAAAAGCTATTTTTTTGAGCTCGGAGAGCTCAAAATAATACACAAATTGTATTCATGAGCTCGAAGAGCTCTAAAACGTCATAAGTGCAATTTCAAGCAATTAGGTATAGAATTGGCGGGAAGTTGCAGGGATGACCTTCAGGGTCAACCGTTTTGCTAATTTTTTTTTTTTTTATTCAAAACAAATTAATTTTTCTTTTAATTCATGATTAAATTAAATATATCCCCAATTTTATTGAAACAAATTAACTGACAAGTAATAATTCAATCAAACAAAAAAATGATTAAAAATTTTCCGAATGATTGTGATTATATTAACCATGAAAGTCAAAAGCCAGACGGGGTCAGCTGGGCAAGAGGCAGGTGAGTGAGGCCAATTGAAAATACTCATCGATGTAATATATAATATCCAACAAATATGACTGTGTGTAACTCATATGTCGTGTATATACCCATTACACTATTACTATTACTATCAGTACATACGCAGCGGATGGTTTCCCATGACACGAGACGCCCACGCTGGAAGCCGGTGTCATCGCTCGCGGGGGCATAAAAGTGTCCGGAGGATCCCAAGGACCACCTTGCTTGGTACGTGGGCGAGCTTGCGCAAGTTCTTATTCGACAAGCTTGACAATTGACGACAAGTGGACAGTGATTAGTTTTACTTATATATTTCAGGCCTCCCCTCCTCCGAAAAAGGTGCTAAAAATCCATTTAAAATTATTATTATAAATTATTCTTGGCAATAAATGTCGAGGGGTTTTCTCGGAACGGTCAATAATTATTTAATTGATATAGTTGATCTTGACTGGTAAGTGCGGAAATAAAATTAGTGTTGTAGATAAAATTCCATAAAATAAATAAATACATGGGAATATATGGATGTGTAATGCATAAGTAGTAAATATACATTTTATATACGAGTATTAAACTATGTAGTACTAAAGAGAAGGATAATACTGAGCGTAATATGCTACGAAAGGCGCCGTCAGGACATTTAACAGTCTCAAAATGTCATTTAACGACAATATCAGGTTCTTTTTATCCGTTCTGTATAATAATTTAACGACCACACACCTCGACGCTATCGTATGAAGAAGAAGCTTCTCAAGGTTTCCGAGATACCGCCAGTATCAACAATACATATGTGTACACATATCTATGCATAGCTTTGATTTTATTTTAATAATAAATAGTTATTTACCTCAAAGCATAATTATTGCCTTTTTTTATTGCTATCAATGGATTTTTATTCTCAAGGCTTTACTGTGCTAACAAAAGTTCTTACATGGGGATGAGAACGAGAATAGTATAGAGCGAACACGTCGTCATAACTCTATGGGTATTGTAAATCACATCGGACGGGTGATATGCACCCATACAGAAATGGGTTATATGTATTCGAGTATAACGCCTTTACTTCCACTTCAGACTCGTACTATACCCACCACGAAGATTCTCAGTTATACTTTAATAGTAACAATAAATTATTGTAAAAGTTTAAACCACCCGGTCAGTCTAGTGCCGATGAAATCCTTAAAACTTTTAACGTCAAACCTCCGGCAACTTTAGAATGTTTTATTTACAGGTTTTTGAGCTTTTATATTTTAGATTTTTTTAGTAAAAAAAAAATTTTTGTTGATTTTTAAATTATTTTTTATTGATAGAAAAATTAATTTAAATTTGTTGGATGTAAATACAATACGCACATCCATGGTGTCATGAATGCTCATCAGTATAAGCATCAAGTTTATTTTTGTAGTTAAAATTTCAGTAAATACGTCTTATTATTTATCAATAAAATTAAAGAGCAGAAAATTTTTAACTTCCCGCTAAGAAAATCGAAGATTTTCAAAAATCGAGAAGTTATTGTTTTCACCCCGTTTTGCAAAAATCGAGTTTTCATCAGATCTCGACGTTTGGAGGTCACAGGAAGCTTCCCTGACTACCCTTGCGATGCTGTTACTATGTCTGTGTGTGTGGATCCTCCTCGCTGGGTGCTGGATCCTCGATGAGAGAGTCGTGAGCTCGTAACAGCCACGGGATCGTGAAACGGTCCGCCCAAATGTGATCGTTAAGCGCCGGTCCCGTACTATTTCCCGTGATGAGAGTCAACGTCAATTCATACTCTGATGGAAAAAAAAATTCACTTGAATTAGGAGAAAAATTCTTAAACCAAGAAAATATTTTTTGAGTTTCATTGTCTTTAGTTAAAGTAGAATTTAATTAAATCAAGATAAATTTTTTAGCTTAAGAATTTTTCTACTCAAATTTTTTTCTGTATAAGTACATAAACTCGCGGTTTTTTATTTATTTTTATATTTTATAGTGGAAAAAAATATTTTTTTGTGTATTGAAAAGTCGGCTCACATCTGACCGTATTTTAAATAAATTAATTATAGTAATAAAAAATTTTAGTAATTTTTTTATAAATATTGTAATTAAGACCTTTATTATTTATTTATTTTTTTTTTTCAATACCTCATTTTTTTTGGCCAGAAAATCGTGAAGCTATACTTTTTGTTTAATTGACATTTTTTTTTTTTTATTAACATAAATAATATTTGTCATTAAAAGAAGCTTGTAAATTTTTATTTTCATTGATAAATATTGAAATTTTTTACCAAAATCTTAAAATTTATTTATAAATCCAGTTAAAAATGACAGCAAAATAAATAATTTTGAAAACTTATTTAAACTATAGAGTACTGTAAATGGTAGCAGTTGGCAATCACCATAATTTAGTCATGACATCTATTACCCAGTGTCTTTTAAACTACTGCAGCAGTTGTCTTTACCACAAATAGTTTCCTTATACAATTTAACTCCCGAGTAACATCCCAGGCCCAATATTAACATTTATTATTACTATTATTTTTATTATTTATAATTCATCGCTTCTGTTTTTAACTGCCGTCAATATTTAACCAGGCTGAATTTTTTAATTAAACCAAATAAAAATAATATCGTGTGTATTGTGGGAGTTAAAAAACCTGTGGAACTTGAGTAGGGGGGCCATTAAGAGACAGAGACACGTTTTTTGGCAAACAATGCAATTTGTAGGCGTTCAGGTGGTCTTTGAGGAGTCTCGACGCACCAGCGTAACATCCAAAGATGTTAAACTCTAAGTTTAAGCGACAACGGAACTCTGGAGCAAAAGAACTTTCGCTAAAAATAATACACAGGAGCTAAGCATTGCGCGAAAAATACTATACTGTCTTAAACGGACACTTAAATTTTTTTTTTCCCCGATCTTTTCTGTACCACTGGGAATTGTTTTATTTTTATTTCAATTCCGAAGCCTCCGATTTTAAATTTATCCTTCTGGTTTTTACTCTGACGTGGGAATTTTTGAACCTTCGCTCCTTGAATTTAATTCAACAACTTTGTAACTTAACTCGGCTGCTTTAATTCAAAAAATTTGATTTAAATTGGGCGGAAGTGTGAAAAAAATCAATCCTTGATCCTGTTTTATGAAAAATATTGAAAGGATTATTTACTAAAATGTGTAGAAGATTGTGAGTCAGTCTCGAGATATTAAAAGCTCAGAAGACACCCGTGCTTGTATTTTCGTAAGCGATAAATCATCGCGTGCCACCTCCGTGCTCTTACAATACAGGACTAATCTTCCATCACGCACGCACGATATAACTACGCCCGCATGCCGTCCCGTGATTTACCATCCTGCGGCTAACCTCTATTATGTATGGCGCACATACGACGCACAGTAACACTCAAAACTGTTGAGAATACACCACCCTGCACCTTGCGCGCTTCTATTACTAAACTCTGAGGTTTTTTAACACGTTTACCTACACCCGGTTAGTCCAAATCCGGAGCTTCATTCAGAAAATATTAATAGACTAGCTCGGACATTTATAGGACGGTTTAATTTAAATACTTAATAGTTTTATCAATTAGTAAAAAATTATTTTTTTATTTTCTAAATTTTTAATTTTTCAAGAGCGATTCTCCAGTTAATATTAATTAAATTCAATTATTAAAATAAATTAATAAAATTATAACGACTAAAACAGCGAGCGAGTAAAAAAAAAAAAGGTTTGAAATTAAAAGTTATTTTAATTAAATTTATTAAAAATTTATTAAAAGTTATTTTAACTAAAAGTTAGATTAATTAAAAGTTTATTTTTAAAAAACCGAGGAGTATGTATGAATATATATTCACCTCGGACAAGATTGTTGAGTTTAACCGATTGCCTCATATACACTCTGGACGGTACTCGGTCCAGAGAATCGCATCCTCGAATTCCGTTCGTTCTTGTATCCACCAGCACTACACGCCGTCCGCCCTTTGTCCGGACATTATTTACTGGCTGGGCCACGAGGGGCCACGGGGACCGAGTAAATTATGGCTGGAACTCGAGTTTCATAAATTCCCGAGCGAGATATGGAGCGACAAATTCGCCGTCTGCCGTCCGGGAATAAGACACACTGGGCCTTTATTTACTTCTGATATTATATTATTGCCCTCCCCTCCCAAGACCCTTTCCATTATGCATATTATTCTTCTTGACTCGTGTCATCTTCCTCCTATACAATATATATCCAGCCTCATTCTCGTTACATTTAAATAAGGACTTAAATCATCCCCCCTTCTGTCCAATAAATAAATTTTTGTATGATTTGCTGTATTCAGATGGAGAATAATTGCCCATTCGTTTTTTTTTTTTATCTTACTTGTGCCATTAATATTCAGTTCAAAAACATTTATTCATTGAGTTAAATTTATTTTTAAATAATTATACAAAAATTTATTAAAAATTAATCAATGTAACTGAAAAAAAAAAAAATTAAAAAATAAAGACATTAAAGAGTGTAATTATATAAATTACAAAATCTAAAACGGTATAAAATTAAAAGTACACGTAACAGAAATTAAAATATACATCTTGGAACAACATCAAGTGATGTCGAGGTTAAAATCAGCTCTCAAAACTAATTAGGACGATCGTGTATCAGCCCTAAAGATCACATCGATCTACCGCGAAGATTTCAATCCAGATGTATGCTAGATATATACATATATGCTCTCATCTCAGTTAAACTATCGTGACTAATGCCCAGATAATTATGCAAAGTTAATTACCAATCATTAAATCGTGTTACTACTTTTTTTTTTAACTATTTTTTTCACCGCGGATCTCCCACAGATTCTTACCCTACTAACTGCGCCATTTTTTCGGCAAACAAAAGCGGTGTGCGCTTCTTTGTCGTCCGACAAACAGAAGTATAAACTCAAACGAGAGATAAGAATTCTCGCGAAAAGGGAAAAGAAAATATCGAAGAGGCAAGTCACTTGATGAGGATGTTAATTGATATATTTGAGGTGACATAGGTGCAGTCTTACACACGCACCTCCCATTAACATAAACAAACGTTTAAACGTTTACAAGTGTTAATTTTCCGCTAGCCGGGACCGCAATCGCGGCACAACGCACACATTCTTCTAGGATTACCTCGCGAATAAGGTTATGCTAAAATATCAAGAGATAAAAATAAAAATATTCAAAATTCCTTGGGATGGATGAAGAGTAAGATGTGTAAGTAGTCAACGCAGGAAGCAGGAGCCTCTTGCTCGCAAAGAAAGAATAACTTAAATAAATAAATAAATAAATAAGTGTGTGGTGAGAGAGTTATGGGTATATGTGTGTATTCCTAATGCGAGTCGAGAGCTCGGCAAATACGCGCATTAGTAACCATGAGATCCATTAATGAAATCAAAGCCAACCGGTATATATTGCGATATGAGGTGTGTCGTATACTCTTCTTAGACACTTTACTTATTTAAATTTAGTATGGCCTCTTGCTTTTTAAATTATCTTTTTTTTTATTAACTAACCTAGTTTAATTTTTATGTCAAACATTATTATAGATAAATACTTTCAAAAATTGAGTCAGTTTTTTATAGAAAATTTTTTAATAAAAAAATTTTCTTAATAAAAAAATGATAGATAAATTAAATCCAAGGCAGGTTGAGATATTTTTATCCAAGTGTGTGAAACTGAAGAGAAGATAAAATAAACGTGTGGAGATCGCCTCAGAAGAGCTGAAATAACAAAAGTAACAAAACAATGAGCAGAGAGCAATAAGAAAAGGTTCGAACATTCAGTTTAACCTTAGAGGTCGAGGAGCGACATCTTTGGGTGTAAGGTAGCGCGAATTTATCGGTTTTCAAGAACGCCTTGGAGCTGGAGCCGGAGGACTACAATGACACGCGGTATAGAATCTTCTGGGATCGGCGGGAGCACGGACGCAAGGTTAAGGGGAACGGGAATAAAAGTAACAAAGTAAGAGGAGATAGAGAGTAGAGGAAATAAAATAAAGTACGAGATGAGATGAACCCGGAGAACGGAGAAGAATGGAATAAGAATTTTTAGTCCTCGTTGACCATCCGCTCATTCGAGATGTGCCAACTCTGACCCGAGAACCGAGCAACTTTCACCCAAGTTTTACTCGACCTCACGCACCCACGTCGCTATTTTCTTCTGCGTGCAAATTTTACTGCCGGGATTCCTTACTTTCAACAATACCGCACTTTTTTATTTTTAATTAAGCTCACGACTCGCTGGATTGCAATTAATTTTGAATTGCCTTCTGCGAATTTTCAAAATTTTTTTGTTCTAATTTAATGAATTAAAAAAAAATTAAAAACGTCGGTTAAGTTTAGGATTATTAAATAATAATTTAATTATTTATTAATTAGATTTTTTTTAATTTTTAAAAAAATTTACTTGAATAATAATTAACATAGAACTCATAGATTAAATGAAATATTTATTAACTACAATAAAGGTCTTATTTACCTCTTGATATACTTGAAAAGAATAAAAATTTCTTCATAAGATTGCAGCGACTAATAAAAAATAAAAATTTATTATTTATATTATCGAATCGAATGAAAAGGTTATGATTGATGTTTGATAAATATCAATCTGATGGTTTACGTAAAATATATTTGCAAATATTTATTTATATTGGATAGATGTAAAGTTTTAAAACCAGTGAAAATACTTCTGTCGAGGATTAATTGAGATAAACTCGGCATGTGGTTTAGGCTCACTGCAAACTGTGGTTACAAGATTGATTGTTATTGATTAATGATCATGATGCCAGGAACCCAATACTGCACATATAAATATAAATATAATAAATAAATATACTTGGATTAGTTTGTGTGCTCATGTGTGTAACGCTCGGTGGTATTAATGTGAGCTGTACATTTTCTAACGAGTCAATTTCACAGAAGAAATATTGTGCATCGAGAAATCCGGATTATAATTCTATATCCACCATATATGTAAATACTTCGAGTGCGTACTTTAACATCCAGCTTTATAATCGATTCCATTGTAATTACCATAATTTAACAATTACCTCTCATTATATTTCACTAAAAGTTTATGGATTATTAATTATTTAAATACAATAATAAAGCCTACACTCTACACTAACAATAAAAACTCCATTTATTTTTTAATTTAAATATTTATTAATATATATATATAATATTAGTCATTAATTTGAATAAACTTGTAACATTATTAATAATGATCTTGTTGCGATAACATCACAGGAGTATTTTCAACATATTACTCCATCATTCTGGCAATTAAACTCCAGTCCTTTTGCTCGCGCTGTGACAAACTTTTTTATTGATAATTAACATATTTATCCCCGAGAAAATTTTTTTATTTCTGAATTAAATTATCCTTTCAAGAAATTAAGTTTCAAGTAATTTGTCGCAGTTAAAAAAAATTTTTTAATTAAAAAGTGCACGCCTCATAACGCTTATTTAATTTTTGACAAAAAAAATAAGCGCTTCACGCTATGAGGCGTGA